CCAGCATCCACCCGTACTTGACTTTCGATGTCGTTGTATTTCGTCGTGGTTCCAAAGAGAGGTCTTGTTCCATCGATGGGAAGGGAAGTGATGACGGTACTCCTATTTCCATACGGTCCGATGTTATGCTCGCGATTCACAAGGTTACAGCTGACTGTAAGGTACCGCAAACCTTCATGGATGTCCACGGGACGATCGCTAATGTGTGGGGTATATGTAGGACCATTGGAGGACCGGTATCCCAGAATACTCGTGAGATTCCGGAGTCCTGCGGAATTTGTTCCCTTAGCAAAGTCGATCCTTATCCTTCCATCGGGATATTCCCTAAGTGTCAACCCGTTTTCCTCCAGCTCTTTCCTAAGCTGTTTAAAGGTCCAATACCCTTCGTCTATCATTACCTTCTTCCCATCTACGGAAATGTAGTCATTGAACCCCTTACGAATATTCTTATAATTCCAGAACACGGCAGCAGTCTTTACGTAAAGTTCGGATCCGTGGGTAAGGATCAGTGGATCCTGTAAATCTAGGGTAACCCCTCCGTCTTCAACATAGACCGTTATCTTCTTCATGTTTTATTTATAGATAATAAAATGGACTTACCATTAGATGTAGCTCTCCGAGAAATATATTTTAACGTTAACGGTGGGTATATGTCGATGGAAAAATTATACCAGAGTGCAAAGGAGGAGGGTATAGAGGGAGTAAGCCGGAAAAACGTTAGGGAATGGTTACAGACACAAAATACCTACATCATCCATAAACCGTCCCGAAAACATTACAAGACCCAAAGGACCTATGTGACGGACTTGCACAGCAAATTCAAATGGACCTTGTGGATATGAGTAAGTTCAGTCACGGGAATAAGGGAAACCGATGGATCCTAACTGTCATAGAGGTTCTGAGTCGATATGCTTTTGCCGTTCCGGTATGGAGGAAAAATACCGAAAGCATGACGAAGGCTGTCGAAAGTGTGCTCGTACAATTTAAGGAAAGATTCGGTAGGTATCCTAAAACGGCACAGTTTGACGACGGAAAGGAATTTTACAATGTAGGAGTAAAGACGTTGCTAAAAGATCACGATGTTCACTACTTTTCCACATGGTCCTTCCGGAAAGCCGCAATCGTCGAACGATTTAATAGGACCCTAAAAACAAGGATGTGGAAATACTTTACGGAAAACAGGACGAAAGTTTGGGTGAACATCTTACCTGCTCTCGTTAGATCCTATAATAATTCCACACACAGAACAATAGGAATGAAACCGGCGGATGTGAATGAGGAAAATAAGGACGAAGTTTGGACGAGAATCTATGGATATCCACTAAGCACTTTTCCGGATCCTAAATTTAAAGTTGGGGATCACGTTAGGGTGAAAATAAAGCACAAGACCTTCGAAAAGGGATACGAACCCAATTTTGACAACGAAGTATACGTCGTTACAGCGGTGTTCCGGGGAGATCCGAACATGTACAGCCTTAAGGATCCGGAGGATGGGGAGGATATTTTGGGAAGGTATTACGAACAGGAATTATCCTTAGACTTAAATAAAGATGGACACCATAGAGATGAATGATCTCAACCGACCGGAAGGGGCCGAAGGGGGTGAGGATGAAACGGTTATCGATGATACACCTGTTGACGAGGATGATTTCCTTTCGGAACTAGACGACGATCAAAGACTAGACGATGTAAAAACCTCCAGTTTCCGAGAGGAGAATAGGGACGATTCCTACAGGAAAAGGAAGAAACAGTTAGACGAACTGAGCACGTTTGGAAAATTTGACGACATAAAGATCGAATACGTCAGGAGGCTTTTCAGAACTGAGTATCGAATAGATCCGACCGACGGACGAAACTCTAAGGAATTTATATCCAGTTTAGACATCACCAAAAACAAGTTGACATTTAACGGGGCCGATGTCGCTTACATTGATACCGGCGGTACCTACAGAATGTCCGAGAATAAGAAGGCTATCGCATCGTCAAGAAGATTCCTTAATCTGTACGAAAAATCACTCGCCGAGCACAGGGAAAGAGCCAGAAGTGTAGTTGAAGAGGAAACCGGAGGAGAGGCATCAGGAGTAAACGCGGAAGAGATTTTCGAAGACGCCGAGGAGGAATTACGTCGGGAAGTCATCAACGCAGGCGACAACCTTGTGGAACACGCAAGGGAGTTAGGGGAAAGTGGAAAAATAACCGAACAGGAAAGGAGGGAATTTGCGGGAGTAACCGTTCCCAAAGGACCCCCGAAGTCAGGATTAAAGCCTTAAGGGAACAGAAGAAAGTATTCGAAACCAATATAGAACTAGAAACAGATCCCGAAAGACGACAGATTATGCAAGAGGGCAGGGATGTTGCCGAACAGGGTATAGATAACGCCAACCTAGAGATGGGTCAGCAACCCGAAACGGAGGAGGGAAAACATAGATATAGGGAAATAGTAAGAGAAAATATCAGGACAAAATTCGAAAGATTCCGCAAATGGGCAAAGGAAAACCTAGGCGCACTAGCTGCCATTGCTATTTCTATCGCCGGAATCATTACTACAGTTGTGGTGGCAGGAAAGACGACTATCGTAGGAGCATCCAAAGGGTTAGGAGCTGTAGGAAAAGCATTGGCTGGACTTGCAAAATCTGCACTACCAATCCTAGTACCTATTATAAATCTACTGAGTACTATCCTAAGATGGGGAGCCAAAGGTCTCGCCTTCCTTGCCCAAAATCTATGGATCGTAGCAGTCCTAATTGCCGGAGCTATATACAAATACCTACAGATGAAACGAAAGAAATGAAGTTATACTATAATAAAACATAATGGACCGAACAACTGAACTTATGCCCAGCTTCCGACGCATGAATAGGACGGAAATTACAGGGGATAGGACCAGACATGTCCTAACCTTCAATCCCAATTCTGCCAAACCCGGAGAAGAAATCTACGTCAACATCCCAAAGCTAAAAGCCGACTCCGTTCTCGTACCGGATAGTATGGCTTTAGTTTTCGACTTCAAGAACAGTAATACAAAATCCTGGTTTAGGAACAACCTGGGAAAACTTCTCCAGAAAAGACTGGAAATCCGACTCGCAGGAGAAAAGGTCTACGACAACAGCGGGGAAAGCTTACTGGAAGTCTACAAGGACCTATGGCTACACAACAAGCAGCGTGACCATATGGTAGAGGATGGTATCGCCAGCGAAGCCACGAGGAAGAAAATATCTAAGGACGACGCTGCAAACGATGATGCAGAGGCTACCACATTGTTCGGTGTATTCGGAACGAAACAGAAGATCAGGATCAACAAGATCCTCAAGGATCACGGACTTTATGCTCCACACAACATGGCAAACGACTTACAATATGTAATCACCCTACCTGCAGCGACCGAAATCATGAGCGCACAAGGTGGAGAATCTGTGGAAGGATACACCCTGGAGAACATCGAACTGGAATACGAATCCATCGACAACATCGATCTCGCAAGGAAAGCCGAGGGTCTGTACGGATCCGAACGCGAGCTATCCTTCGAACATGCTACCCTAATGAAGAAAACAGAATGGAGCAAAGATTCCACCATCATCAACGAAACGATCAACGTACCACGCAGGAGTATGAAAGCCATCGTCATGCTATTTGAGAGCAAGACAAAGACAGACAGCGAGGAATATATCTACCCCAACATCGAAAAGGTTAGGGTAACCGTAGAAGGTGTTCCCAATGCAGTCTATAGTCAGGGTATCCCAAAAACAAGACTGTACGAGGAGGCAAGGCGACTGTTCGGTACCGACGAAATCAGTCACCAGACACTAACCGGATTCTTCAAAGACAAGAAATTCGCACTGGTCATCGACCTAAGAATCGCAAGCGATGCTAACACATATGGAAACGGTGCTAAAATCCAGAACACCCAATCCGGAATATTAGTGGAAATCACAAAGAAATCCACAACCGCAAACGTTATATGTTACCTGTTCGTCCTATCCGACGGTGTTATCAAGATCACAAACGGACAACTTGCTGGAATAAAATACTAAATTATTTAGAAACTATAGCTTTTTCATACCCAACAGGGTCTGAAAATATTTATGTCTGATCGTCGGCCTCCGCTCCTTCCTCAGAAGGTGGTTGTTCGGGTGTCTTTCGATAAACATGTTTCACTGTCGTCACTCCACCACTGACGATATCCAGGTAGGGTATGTATGGGGACAGCTTTGCCACTACACTTTTAACATCACTCTTAAACAGTTTATCCTGATTTAATTCCTCCCTCAATTCATTTCCACTATCCACCATACTGATAGCTTCCATGAGATCTGAAAATTTTTCAATCAAAGCCTCTGCCAGCACCACATTTGCCTTTTCCCTCTGTGTGGTAATGTATTCCCTCCGTACTTTCATGATAACCTTCCCGGATGCCTTCTTCAGGTAACTCTCGCACTGCTTAATCTCTCCCGCATTGGACAGCGAATAAGTTCTGACCTACTGTCCTCTATCTCCGTATTTTCTGCGTTTGGTGGTTCCTGTTCCATTCCCTTTTATTATACTATAGGAACTTTTACTTCATGATTGAATGGGTGTATTAATTCCACTTCAAGATGAGCATACTTATTCTCCTTCAACTTTTCCCTAATAGATCTCATTTCCACATTGTCAACAAGAAGGTATTCATCCAGAATAATCTTCATGTCCTGCCTATTCGGATTATAGAACGTCACCAATTTTGAAATATTCTGCCTGTACGGTTTGGCAATAGAGGTCAGCTGTTGGGTAATAACAATAGTTGAAATACTCATGTGGCGTGCGCTAAACCCAAGGTCAACCAACTCTCCCGTCCGATCCTTCACGGACTTAGTGCTGGCACAGTCGTCCAGAATGATGAGAGATTCCCTTCCCCTGGTAAAGTCCACTACAAATTTAAGGTAGTCCTCCACGTCATCCTGCCGGCAGGGAATAACAAAGAAATTATCGTCATCATGAATGAAATCCTGATCATAGGTCTTATTCCAGTGATAGGTAGGACAGATCAGAAATATATTTTCAAATTGACGGGAAAACGTCGTCTTTAACTCCCGAACGAGGTAATGCGTCTTCCCACAGGCTGTCATACCTACAATAATCATGTTGAATGGCATTTTTATTTTCCGGTTAAATAAAAATGAGTAGCGGAGATAAAAAGGAAAAAATCGTCAAAGAGCAAAAGAAAAATAAGGAAGCAAACGTTGGTGTTAAGGTGGGTAAGGGAAGTCTAACCTTCGGTGCAGATGCAAGGGTCGAATTTAACAGTTCCAGCGTAAAGAACTACAAATACATGAAGAAGGGTAAATGTTGTCCGGAACCCAAACCAGAACCTAAACCTAAACCCAAACCCATAAAACATAAGGCTAAGAAATAAAATGGGATGCCTGTCCTCAAAACCCGAAACCGAGAACAGAATAAAGTATAACAAAAATCATAAAAGGAGGAAAATGTTTAACCTGGGTATCGGTATCGAACGGGGTGACATCACAATGAGCGCACATACCCAAATCGGTTATGCCAGCACAACCGTAAAGAAATACGATAAACAAAATGATGAGAATACCACGGAAACTAGTATGGTTGTGTCTGATCAGCCTCCTGCTAATTCCAATAACGGTTGAGGTTCTCCTTGCTATCGTTACCCTAAAACTAATACTTCAATTTTAATGACTGGTAAAAGACATTAGAATTATTCAGTATACTTCAAACCCAGCTTCTGAAACAATTTCCTACACCGATCGTGAGGGACCTTCCCCTTAGGAATCTTAAGTAAAGACTCATCTACATTTACATCAATCATTTTACATACCTGATATATCATAATATTAAGATTGGGTATCCTCTTCCCCCTAGGTTTCTCTGCTTCACAAATATATTCAACCCAATTCATAACCTCACCCACTACTCCCCCAAGAATAGGGTACTGTCTCACGTTTCCCTAAATAGGTACTGTCCCGACATTTCCTTCTTAACTATAAAACTATGGACTTTCTCACGGATAGTAGCTGGTATATACTTACGCCTAATAATTGCTCTGTCCCAGCAGCCGTATCCGGAAACGTAATAGGTCCTACCAACTATTAGTCCACACTCATGACACGTTCTTTCCCCATTTATATCAATAAGCTGATGCTTACGTTCCTCGGAACAGAAGTGTTTATTTGGAAATTCTATGGGCTCCGGCTCCTTAGGATCAAGAGAATCCAAGTACAGAAGTACTCCTTTTCCGCCATATCAAAAAGCTTCATGTTTTCGCTCCTCTTCCTCGGTTCCCGCGGTGGACGCAACTCTTTGTGGTACGCCGAAAGGGCCTTCGCAAGTGGGGAATCCATACCGTACAGAAATTCCATATCCGGAGCCGGTCCATCAAAGTTCCAACCGATAGAGTCTAAGTACGCCACATAAATGATGCACATGTCCTTGTAATTGGACCTTTTTATAGTCTTTGAATACAAATCCATATTTTCCTCATATTTCTTAAGAGACTTTCCGAAGGCGGTATCCATACTTTTTATTATACATAAACCTTTCTCTTTAAACCACTTTCCCTCCACCGAAAACCCCAACAAGCGTGCGGGTGCGGTGGATGCGGTGGGCCCGCGTAGAATGTGGCGGACGGCGAAATTCATCGGGTCAACACCCGCGGGAATTTGTGGCGAGATTGTCAGAGCATGCGTGTGCATGCGGGGGTGCTTGCGCGTTCGTGGGCACGGATGCGCGAGGACGGGGGAGGACGGGGGAGGGGTCCGGCAGGCATGGGCGGCGCAGGGAACTGGAGAACCGGAAGTGGTGGAGTCGATTCTATTCCGGGAAGGCGGAATTCCGGGAAGGCGATCCTAGGCGTGCCCGAGCTTGCCCGGATCCACTATAATTTGCCTTACATGAAGTATTAACCAAAATGAGCTAGAGCCGACCGACCAATTCAACTCGCGCATGCGCAAACCGTTTTGTCCAAGAACCGGTCTTTATTAGCTACTTGCATGGGGTTAGTATAGTCACTAGTAACCTCGTGATGAAGGCCTGCGCTCAGGAAAGCGTAAAAGAGTTTTCAAACTTTTTTAAGTCGTTCAGACACATAAAACCGCATGCAACCACACGACATTTGAAATTTTAGGAATATAGTGTTTATAAAATCGAAAAAATCCTACTAATATTGAATGGGATATTTGATCACGTTTATTCGAAACCATGCACTTATGATTTTTTTCAAACAGTCGAGAGAAGCGAAAGTGATGAGCTGTTGAAAATTTACAACGACTGTGTCGATAGTGTTGTCCAGTTTCGAAGTTTTCATATCCAAGTTGTAACTAGGTGAGTGACACCCTCAAGTATAGAATATAAATTTCTAAAGAACCGATTCACAAACACCAACTGAACTCTTTTGTTTAACGACGCCAGTTGCACAAAACAGGTTCATTAATTGTATAACTTCCCATTTATACGAGTATACAAAAAAAAAGTGAAGGAAATCCCAAAATCTTGTCTAATTTGAAACTTGAATAACTTGCAAATATCTTGACTGTAGACCAGATGAACTATTTTTACAAAATAAATAAGACATCGACATTCGACAGATTTTCGAAAAAAAATCGGATTAGTGTCAAATAAAGATTAGATTAGGGTTAGATTAAGATTAGGGTTAGAGGTTATAGGGGTTAGAGTTAGGGGTTACGGGTTACGACTCAACATGTGTCGCGAATTTATCATATTGATAAATTCGGACGTGTTTAACAATTTACTCATATAGTAAATTCAAAGGTGGAGCAGATGCTGCGTGCCGCCGAGTGTTAAGTCTACTATTAATAGTACTACTGTATAGGTACGTCGAGGATAGGGGATTTAATTCATTCCCTGTACTTAAACATTCATGTAAGTGGAGTTTGATTGGTTCTCTCCTGTGCTTCGATAATTTTATTCTGAATCCTGCTGTTTTCCTCCTTCACCATGACAACTTTTTCTATATATACCTTCGTTAAGGCCATTTTCCATTGCTGTCGCTTTGCCCGCGCGGTCGGAGCGATCAATTTTAATCGCGTGAAAAATCAGTCGCGCGGGCACGCCAAGAAAGTTTAATGTAATTCTGCTTTCGTGGCGTATCCGCGAGCATTCAGGCGGACAAAAAATGCACAGGATGGACAACTACAGAGAAAGTTGAGTAAAGTTCGCTCCGCCCGCTCCGGCAAAGCGACTCCAATGGAAAATTACCTTTACCGAACAGTGAACCATGTATTTACACCCTGTTAATTTAATCGACATTAAAATAATTTCATTATCATCAACACACTATTAAAAACTATTATTAATAATAATAAATTGACTAAAAAGATGTTTTGTATCTTCCAATTTTATTTACTATTTTGCTTTATAATTATATTGTTGACTAATTTATAAAAATCGTGTCAACATAAATTCTTGTTTCAATTATATACAGATATGTTACAATTCAAGCGGCCAAAGAAAAAACCCATAACGAACCCGTTAAAAAAGAACTTGTATACGGCACGGGAGGTACAGGTAAGCCATGTTGTATATCCTTGTTTGTTTTTGTTCTATATAGGTTATCCTTGTCGCATAGCTTCGGTTTGAAAACTAGAAATGCATGCAATAATCCCTCGCCTTTTCAACCAAACAAACATATATAGTCCCTAAAGACTTTTTCAAAACAACCATTTCATGGAAAATATGAAATTTCAGTTTTTAGAAACAAAGATCAAAACAATTTTTTTAAAATTCAAGTTCGGCAATTTTGTTCTAAGTTGTTTTAACATGAAGTTTCGTTATACTTCCAAATTCCTGGCTGTCATGCTGTCCATGCATGGCAGTGTTGCCAAATCATGAACAAAGTTCACAGTTTTGTGAACTTTTTGTCCTCGACAAGACGACATGAACTTTTTGTGAACAACAAGAGTTTGTGAACATTTCATGAAATTTTCAAAATAATATGAACTATTTCACGAACTTTGATTATTACACTCCCTCAAGATAAATGTTGTAATATAAATTATCACAATTTTGCTGTTAACGATTAATTTTTAATAAATTATTTATGAATAGTCTAGCTTATATCTCATTGGCTCTCCTGGATGAAATGTTCAGCGGTTTTAACATGGTTGTAATTCATATAATACCATATATAGTTTCTCATGGGCAAATAATATCTGGGAACAGGTTCGTTAGCATTGTTGCCAACGACAGCACGCCATAAATCATAATGCTCCAAAGACCAAACACTCTCCAAAAATCTTCCAGCTTCCCCACTGATAAAGCATGCCACATCTATACTGTATGATGCAATTATCGACGCCATATTGGTTGATTTTCAAAATACACGTGGCAACTATAAAATCCATATTCTTCATTCTTTGTCGTATTGAGCCAAAGACCGTAAACTATCCATAATACAGTAACATGTTTCCAAAACAAATCAGAAAATGTTAAATTAACTCAACTACTTCGCTGTAAACGGCTTGACGAAAGTTTAAAATCAACCAAGATGGCGCCTAATGACTCGTAGTGACGTCATGTGGAAGCAAAGAATTGTAGTGCTTTGAAAACCATGCATACAATTAAAAAATCATAATTTGTCGATAAAAATGGTTTAGTTTCATAAACATATTTCAAATTTCAAAACGTTTTATGAACCGTTAGAGGTTGAATTTCCTTAAATTAAATCTTATATTTAACCGGCACATATCTCACCAACTGTAGGTATTTTGGAAATTAAAGTTTTGGTAATTGAATTTTTCCATAATTTTCACAATTCTCTTCCAAGAATATAAAAAGTAAGATGAATCTTGTTACCATGACTACCACTTCAAAATACTTCATGTCTGGCAGTGGCGCCCAGGGCCGTAGCGAAGAGGCTAAAGAAGGGGGGTGGTCGAAAATTTTTCCGGATATACGAAAATACCGTAATTTGTTCACTTTTTCCGTAATTTTCGTAAATTTAGCAAAATTTTTGCTATGACTATTACTTTTTATTCCGAGCCACTCAAATATTTTCGCTGACTACGAAAACAATTTGCAGATAAATCCCGAAAACGATTTGCCGAGTCTAGCAGACATTTGCCGAGTCCGTGATGAATAGAGGTGTTTCACCCCCCCCCCCCCACACACACACCCTTCTAGCTACGCCCCTGGTGGCGCCGATGCAATTTTTTTTCCGTACACAGTCGGACTCCTCATTGATAGTCAGACGCATCATTGTATTCATTGACCAGCGTTCAGGCCTCCACGCGTTATCAATCGATCCCTTCGTACCCTGTGTAACCCACTGGTACACCATATATCCATCACTCCACGTTGTTCTTCTTCGACCACATGTAGAATTCTGATTCCGAAAATACTCGAGAACTGTTATTGCAAGTTAAAACTATATATCATCCCAATTGAAATATAGTATCCACTAAAATATAGAGCTATCTATGGCATGACAATTTGATCTATTAATACTAATCTAACTGTATGCCTCATTCTCCAAATAACGGACTTGACTGCATATCCACGTATCCACTAAAATATAGAGCTACTACCTTTAACACTATGACAATTTAATATATCAATGCTAAGTAGAGGTATGCAAATCCGATCCGAAACCGATCCGATCGGATTCGTTCGGATTTCGGAACCAAAATATTTATGTCGAATCGGATCGGATTGATAAAGTTGTTTCATAGTCGGATCGGACTTCGATACCCGAAATAAAATGAATTAATTATCCACGCATTGTCGCAAGAATTAATTATCCATGCATTTATCAAAGCATCATCGCGGTTGTCGCTGCATTATTCGTTTGATACTTCGATTGGACGTCACTTTGTCAGCTTCTTGACATATATTTCTTGCTTTTATATTTATTTGGTTAAACATTTCAACTTGAACGAGAAATTTATTTTATTAAAGAATTCTTCGGATCGGATCGAATTGGAATTCTTTTTCAATACTCGGATCGGATTCGGA